AATTTTAGTGAGTCTAGGTTTTGTCTAAAAAATAGGGATGTTATAATTTATTGATAAAATTTTATAGTTATCCCTAATTAATCACCTTTAATATATATTATAATTATCTTTTAAACATGAGGATAAAATAATAATAAGTATATAAAATGTCATCTTAAAAAAAAAAATAGATAACTAAATTTGCATGTCTTAAATTAGAAACTAAATCTACCAAAATTGAATGGAAAGGATAAGTTATTTAACTATGTTTCTTTATTAAACATGAAATTCATATTAATTCAAGTACAACTGGTACTCAACTTTTTCACAAACAAATTATTTTTTCTTGTTTGTAAAAATAAAAATATTAAAAATAAAAAATTGTCGGTCCTATGATACAATCACTACTAGAAAGCACAAATTCACCAACAGCACAACACATTGGTAAGTAGAGGGTTTACGTTGGAGTAAACAAGCTTCCCACCACGTTATTCACATTGATAAACACTTGTCGGTACAAGTGGCCTCAGTAGTCAATGCACTGACGTAACTTCAAATCATGTCGTTAAATTCATAAAATTTATCGACGTGAGACAAATTGGAGAGCAACTGAGCAAGGTTGTTGGATCGACGGCAGGTGAATAGGAAAATTACCAACTCTTGGTTCTCAGGTCGGTAAATTATTCAAATTAATCGACATATGATTTGAAGGTACATTATTCTACTGGAATAGTGTACATTTTCTGAAGATACTTTTCCTCCAAACACACGTCGGTGTTTAATCACTTACTAATGTAACTAACGTCAGTAAATATTTATTTATTTTTATGAAAAACTTAAATATTTAAGGCATTATTTTAAAACTTACCAACGTGACCAACGTTGGTAAATGATTTTTTGGAAAAAAATAATTGGGTTTCTTCAATTGAAACTCAAATTAATTATATATATTTGTTCAATTCAATCTATTTGTTCACAAATGTCAATTAATTTGCAACTCTCAATATAAACGGTAAATATGATATTAAAATTTTTAAATAAAAAGAATAAATACAGATTTTGATAATGTAGGAATATTAACATAAATTTCAAATTTGTAAAAATAAGAAAATTAAAATATAAAATTTGATAACATAAACAAAAAATTAATAATTACCTCAATAAGCATATCATATATAGAGCTCCATTTTCTTAAAAAAAATGTGAAAAACAAAATTAGTTGAATGTTTATATATAAATTCAGGCAATTAATACAACCTAAGTATAATAAAAAATTAGTTTAAAGAAAATTTACCGAATATTTATAGTGCCATTTCCTGCAAAACAGCATGAAAAAAAATAGAAAAAGAACTCCATAGCTCAAATTAAAATTAAATCACTTAAACAAAAAGAAGAGAAGAGAAAGGAGAGGAGAGAATAGAAGAAAAAAAAAATAAAAACAACATGAATATAAAGCTACATGTAATGTAATTATAAAAAAGAAAAAGAAAAAACTGTGGCGAGAAGAAGAGAAGAGAAGAGAAAAGAGAGGAGAAGGAGAAGAAAGGAGAAGAAGGAAGGAAGAACAAATGAGCAGGGTTTTGGGCTAGAGGCATCATATAATACCATGTACCTATGTGGATCATGTCGAAATCTAGTTTACCAACGTGATCCACGTTGGCAAGTCTTCAATTTCGGCGAGAGGAAAAATTTGCAAAAATTTTACTTTTCCTAGTTAAAACTTATGGCACGATGCATGTTGGAAAGTTAAAAAAATAATAATAAAAAAAAAGTGGTTGAAAAAATACTGAAACTGTTTAATTTTCCCGTTATTGATTTACCGACATGCACGACCTTGGTATGGAAGAAATTTCAACAGGTCAAATATTTATCAAATATTTTGTTTTCCTGCCTCTATTTTACTGACATATATAATGTTAGCACATTGTTAATGATTTAGCAACTTATATATACTTAGGCTTAAAATTTATCAATGTGCATAGCGTTGGTAAGTAATTTTTACTGAGGCTATGCACATTGTTATGTAAAGGAAGTTCAACACAATTGCCAATTTCTAAATTCCATCCAGTTTTCATGTCAATTTCTAGATTTGTTTTTTAGATTTCTTGCATTTTGGTCATGTTAGTGGATATAAATTCTAGGAAAAGTTTGGCTTTCCCCGTCCATATGATGAAATCCAATTATATTTTGAACAAACTGTTGTAATGAAAAACATACTACGAAGCTTTGGCATATAAAAACAATACATTTTCAAAACATCAACCACATAAGATTTTCTTAAATGTAGATGATAATCAATTCATAATGACCTCTAGAACAATCCAAAACTTTCTACCATGTCAAATACGAATAATGGTGTGAAACAAAATATGAACAGATATTGACATAAAAAATATGCCCTAAAAGCTAAATCTATTAGTCATAAATGTACGTGAAATGTAGCAGAAAACAGAACTTAGGACCTTGATATTTTGGGTAAAAAACGGGATGGTACATATCTTTTTTGAAGCTGCTAATGATGTCTAGGCAATATTAAAGAGGTCTGTGTGTATTCAAAAGAGCGACTAAAAGGTGCATTCAGGTGGAGACCTAAGCCTTGGCCATGTTGTGGTGGTGGTGGTGGAAATGGATGCAAACCTGGCTAAAGGGTGATGCCATAAATAGTGAGAGTAGCTGCAACAAACTGTGCAATCATCTAAGT